GGGGTACACAAGACGAATCAGACTCCTGCAAGGGGTATAGTAGGCTGGAAAGATTGAGAACCACTGTATTAGGAGCAGGGGTGAAAGTAAAATTAAGCTCTTACCGGTACGGGGCCAGCTCTGCCCCCGCCCCAGAAGGGGCGGGGTCTTGGGCAGAAGGGACGGGTCAGGGTCCCCTGGCCAGCCCATCGGCACTGCCTGGCCTGTACCGCCTGGGGCTCCAGCAGGGATTTAAAGGGCCCGGGGCTCTGGCAGCAGCATCTGGATCCCTGGGCCCTTTTAAATTGTGGCCCTGGGGCAGCTACTTCTTTGCTTCCCCCCCCCCCCATCAGCGGCCGGTGTGGGGGGAAGGGACAACGACATTAAAGCGCAACGACATTACTGGTATGCCGTACCATCCTGCACCACCTTACTTTCACCCCTGATTAGGAGGAACTGGGGATTAGGTGCCTGCAGGGCCACTCCATGCTATGTGGGGGTGCTCTGGAGAATGCACCCTGCCACAGCTACCTCTAATTCTTCCTATAGTTTCACTTTCCGTGCTGATCTTTTGGGGTTTGTTACTGCATGCTGTTAAACAGCTGCTACCTTCCATCCCAGGGCTCGATGCATTTCAGCCGTAATGATAATAGTAATAGTGAAATAACTCCTATAAGCAGAGCCATATCAGGGAACCATGAAGAACTCCTCTCCTGTGAGTAGTACCATTTATCCATAAATATGTAAATGATCTAGTCCATTTGGTTTCTAATGTGCTTTGAGATCCTTCAGCATGAACGGCATATATACATGCTGTAATAATAATTTTTGTCACTATCCACCACATTAATTCCTTATCTAACTGGATGAAACTCCGTTTGGTGTGGATGGAAGTTGCACTCACTTATGCCGGGGTTAAATTTGGCTCTTCTTATATCTAGCCAAAGAATTGTGAGTACAAGTACCAGCCATATTTGTTTGTGTAAAAAAGACAACTTGTTTATGGCATTGGTCCTTACCACATATTTATGGATCACTAGTATCCAGTATAGCTGGGTAACTTGCCATGTGTTATTTCTTACATATAAAAACGTGTGTAAATTCCAGCAACGGGAATATGATCAGACGTCTCTATAGGTTTTCTCATATTCATATTTGGTTTCTTTGCTTAATCCACTTACACATACCAATATATGGCTGTGTAAGATGTGAATTTTCTTTGATTTATGTGCAATAATTACTTCCTAACATCTGCATAACAGATTTTGTAGGAAAAGTAACTCTGCAACATTAAAAAATAAATGTATGAAATCTTTAACATCTCTGTTACTGGGTTTTGTTATCCACAGCTGACTGGATACATTCCCAGCCAGGACGCTGGTTCAGCAAAACAGCTGCATTAGTGATTTAACTGTGGGCCTGAGTCTGCTCCTATTTACATCAATGTAAATCAGGAGTGATGCAGCTGAAGACAAAGGAGTTACACCGGTGTGAAACTGGTGTGAAAGGAAAACTAAGCATCATGGTAGAGAACAACCAGGGGACTTCAGATATGATGCTTCGATGGTATAGGATACTGTGTTAGGGCCTGATCCAGCAAACATTTCCTACCAGATACATTGCTTTCCAGTGAGGTTATTATTATTTAATAATTTTATATTGTGGTAGGGTCTGGAGGCCAACTGTACCCTAGTCCCATGGATTTAAGTGAAACTACTTTTGGTAGTAAGCACTGAACTCAGTAGTGAGTATTTGCAGTATTGGCCGCAAATTATTCATTCTTATTTATGTAGTGTCAAAAATGTTCTGGGTTCATTATAATTTACTGTGTGATTTGTAGTACTGGGAAATGTATTCATTGACATTCTTTCAACAGTGCCTTAGTACAAGGGATAATTAATCTGGAGATTTCCTTTGAGAAAGGGAATTTTAACCAAGGAATGTTGAAGTCAAATAGAAGCTATAGCATCTCTCAAGAGCCCAATACTATTCCCAGTATCGGGACTGACTTCTACTCAGTTGTAAAACAATATACGGTTGTGTTACCAGAAATCTTATCATTCTGCCTTGTAGATGGGCTTTCAGGTAAGACCGATATTAAACCTCTTTAGGCCTCTATTGCCATCCTTTAATGAGCTGATTTGTTAATTATTTGCCAGTACCAACAGCTACTGTTACAGTATGTGTGAGGTCAAAGAATTCCAGCAGTGAATATCAGATCTTGGATGTAATCTCTGATTACTCTTCTAGCAAAGGCACAGGTAGTTTTGTAAGTGATTTGGACTCTGTGGTTGCTGCAGGGGTGGCACACATCATAAGACCGGCCATACTGGGTCAGACCAATGGTCCATCTATCCCAGTATCCTGTCTTCCGACAGTGGCCAATGCCAGGTGCCCCAGAGGGAATAAACAGAACAGGTAATCACCAAGTGATCCATCCCCTGTCACCCATTCCCAAGTTCTGGCAAACAGAGGCTAGAGATACTATCCCTGCCCATCCCAGCTAATAGCCATTGATGGACCTATCCTCCATGAACTTATCTAGTTCTTTTTTGAACCCTGTTATAGACTTGGCCTCCATGTGGATCCATACTGGAGTCCCATGGATAGTACCCCTTGTACTCCAAGACACAATGAACCTAAATTCTGCAATAGATACCCATCAATTCTGGGGCAGGAAACCCGCCATTCTATGGCAATGAAATTAAGGCTATCATTTACTCACGGATAATTTTAATAAAGGTAATGGACAGGTCATGGGGCAGTAAACAAAAATTCATGGCCCCTGATCTGTCCATAATTTCTACTAAAAATACCTCTGATTAAATCTTGCTGTGGGGGGTGGAGGGAGGGGCGCTGTTGCGGGGGGCGGGGGGCGCCCAGGGCCAGTGGCACCAGTTGCCGGGGTCCACGGAACACGGCTGCTCCAGCCAGCCAGCCGACCAGGGACTGCTGCCTGGGGCTGCCAGAGGAGCGGCTGGTGTGGCTGTTCCTGGGGCCACCTGAGCAGCTGGTGCCAGCTGCTTGAGTGGCTCTGGGATCAGCCACACTGGCCCCTCCAGAAGTTGAGGAGGTCGCAGAAAGTCAAGGAATCCTAATGATAATCTAGTTCATTTGCTGATTTGCTGAATCCACTCTAGAGGCGCAGTAACATTTTTATGCAAACCTAGGGAAAGGGGGAAGGTTATTTCCTACAGGTTGGATGTTTAGGGTTCTTGTAGAGACAGCACCCAGCTCCTAGCAGGTGTATGTGGCAGCTGAATAAAGCTCCATCCTTTCCAGTCTGCCAGGGTTGGGGGGATGGAGCAGGGCACGAGAAGGAGGGTGGCAGCAGCCGGGGTCTGAGCCTATGAGCTGCGGGCACTGGGCAGAGCTCAGTCCTCCCTGGGCTGCAAAGTGTGTGAAGGGTCCTTCGCAGCACACATATTTTCCAGGCCAGATTAAGCTATAGGCACCATAAACCCATGCCTGGGGCCCCAGCTCCCAGAGTCATGTAATTACACGAGAACCTAAGTTTTCTGGCTGTGGGGCTCATGTCTGAGATGTGACTCGAATATAACCAATGCAGTGATGTCTGCCTGAGTGAACATCCCCACCCCTTCCAGAGCCCCACTCAGTGTCCACCACACACTTTGCATCCTGGCGGGAGAGATTTCTGCTTGGGGCCTGCGACTCATGTACTCAGCCCCTGGCTGCCACATTCCTCCCAGCCAGAGCACACGTCTTCAAAGGTAGGGAGAGCTGTTGTCCTCCTTTCTGTCTCCCCTAATTATGGACAACAGGGCAGGAGAGTATAATGCAAGAGAATCCCAACTCTTGACATTGCAAGTCTTGTGATAATTGGTGTTCCTCTTGAAACCCCAACTCCCGGAATTATTTAATTAGGAAAGTATCTCTGTTTTTTTTAAAAAGTAAAGTTTCCAGCCCTCACGGTTTCAGAGAAAAGCTTGAAAAGAGTCACCCCAGTGCACCCTAAAGGCTTGGAAACCAGAAGGCAAATCATTTTCTTTTTGTAAATCTCATGAATTTTTAGCCAGCCTCATGATTTTAGGGGGCCTAACTCATAATGATCTTTTGACAACTTGGTGTTGCCAATGCTGAGGATGTGCTGCTTGAGGCAAGCGGCAGAGAAACGGCATGCTGCAGCCAGATCCTGGCAGGCAGAAAGAGCAAAATGTTGGGCAGCTGGTTGCAGCAACATGGCAGAGTCCAGGGCCAAAAGAGGGAATTCCACAGCAATTTGGTAACATGCCAAATTCCATGGAACATTCTGTGATCACTGTGTACATGGGGCCCTGCCTATGAATTAATGCTACCTGAAACCTATACTTCCTAAGGAAAAAAACTGACACTGTGTGTTGAACATGTGTAGACACCCCAGGCTTTTTACTGAAGAGCTAGATCCTGCAAACACTATCCTTATACTCCTAGTAGTAAGCACTATGCCCAGCAGTAAGTGTTTGCAGGATTTAAGACTTTTGAAAATACTCTGAGGATGCCCAGTATGCCTCAGTATAATATGAGGGCACACTTGTGCAGATAACCCAAAGTTTTAACACTCTCTTCCTGGTTTGGTTTGTTTAATTCCTTGTGAAATGATTTTTTTTCTCTCAAGGAGTTTGAGCTGAACAGTCTGTGACCATATGCCAAATCTCAACATGCCTGAGGGCCATCCTGCATCTCCCAAAGAGAACCCTTTTTTAAACCAACTTCTGCTGAAACACTGGAACTTCACCCATTTATGTACGGCGAGCCCCTTCTTTTTTGATCTTTGAAGGCAGCAGTGACATGATGGCTAAATGAAATGCTCATTACAATTCTGGATGCAGTGCAACACATTTTAAAAGCTTTTTACTTAGAAACTATTCTGTGTGCTATATATATATTTGGAGGTGTTTTTTAGTATTACTAGGAGCATATGTATAAAAACATGATTTTTGTTTTTTGAAATCAGTAATTCATTTGCTTCTGTTGGTTATGTCTTACTTGAATAATTAGTATCATAATACACCTTTATACAGGTCCTGTGTACATTGTGGCAAGCTGGACCCAGTTTCTGGAGCAAGGTCTCCTGGTTTCTGAGGTTCTCTGGGCCTAAATTCTGCAGAAAACTGGAAATTCTGTGGCACCTTCAGGTAAAGTTAGCTTTTACTGATTTTAAATATGAGTATTAATAATGAATTCATTGCAGTATCCCTTGTGCTGTTCATTTTTATGATATTTAAATGTATTTTACAGTGCCTCAGATTTTCAGTCTGCTGTAAATTTTTGTATGGACAATACAGTTGTACGTTGGAACAAAGCCAGAGATTTTAGCAGCTACTTGGAGTTTTTGGCACCTGAGAACATATGGCACCCAGGATGCAATTGGGACTTTCACAATGGAGAGTGGCTGCATTTCTTCTCTTCCTCCTTGTGGACAAGGGTGGAAGGGACTTGAAATTTTGGGGGTGGTATGTGCTGTCCTAATTCCCCACCACAGCAACTCTTGACACAAACATTTCCCCAGTTCCCCCGGTTCTTGTATCAACAACTACGGTTAAGCAGAATTAGCTAGATATTGCTGCCAAAATGATGAGCAGTGAAACAGTGAACAATATTGACAATTAAGTCATCATTAAGTTTCAGAGTTAACACATCACTATAATTAAGGAAATTCACACATCATAGAGCTATTGTTTCAAGCCAGTCTGTTTGCAGACTGAGAAAGATGAGACAGCAATTTGGTTCACGTTTGGTAGTTTTCCTTCAAAACAACAAAATTTTGAAATGTATTGTTTAAAATTAAAGCTTAGAGTCTGTTGCTCAAATCTGCAGCAGGATGTGGATTTTGTGGCAGAACTTCAGAATACAGGAGACCCTTTTTAGCATCTTCCACATAAGGATCTCACAGCACCTTGAATACTAACTAATCCCTGCGATGTAGGAAAGTATAATTATCCCCATTTTACAGATGAGGAACAGAGGCCCAGAGATGTGAGAGGCTTGCCCAAGGTCACGGGGAAAGCTAAGGCAGAGCCTGGATCAGAACCCAGAGCCAAATTCTTCCCCAGTATAATTCTACTGGAGTCAACTGAATTATACCCAGGACAAATTGGCCTCAAGTCTCCTAGCTGTACCTTATCTATACAACTACTCTTTGTTCCTTTATGACTTGTGGTCATAATCCTCTGTTTCATCACAACCGAACTCCAGAGCAATCAACTGAAGGTGGGGCTGGAGGAAGCTCCTGGTACTCCTCTTCCAAGAGTGTACCAGGTGCCATTTAGGGTATGTCTCCACAGCAAAGGAAAACCCACAGCTGGTCTGTGCCAGCTGACTCAGACTTGTGAATCTCAGGCTGTGGGGCTGGTTTATTGCTGTGTAGACTTCTGAGTTTGGGCCTGAGCCTGGGCTCTAGGATCCTGTGGAGTTGAAGCCTGCGACCTGAGCCCTGTGAGCCCAAATTGGCTGGCATGGGCCAGCTGCGGGTTTTTCTTTGCTGTGTAGACACACAAGTGGCTGCTAGTTAGTCAATACACTCTTGGAGTTATAATGTCTCCAGCTCCTGCTGCTTCAGACTGTGCACCTCCTCTCCCCACTTTCAATATAGTTCTGCTTGTGGTATCCTTAATTTGGCCCCATATGTATAATACAATTGCATCTATACTAATCTTTCATATAGTAAAAGCACTAAAAATGATGTACAGAAATGTATTTCTGCAAAACTCATTAACCTCACACTGTAAACTTCTTTGCATTTCCTTTCCCACCTCAGCTGATATAAAGAGATGTTCTGTCCTGTCTAATCAGCCTCTTCCGGCTGTCTGATTAGTTCACTGAGATCACAGTTCTTCTTTGAGCTATTCCAAGACATTTCCAGAGAAAGAACCATGATGCTGAGATGCTGGATTGTGGCATCCCTGCATGAAACACGCTGAGGGACAAGGAAGAGGGAAACTTTTCTTTATGTACAAAAGGTTTAGTCCTGCCCTACTTACTCAACTATACATTTGTGCAAGTCAGTGGAGGTTTTGCCTATAAGCCTCAGCCAGCACATATTACTCAGTAATAACCACTTATCCGCAATGCTCAGAAAGGAAACCCCAGAAGAACTGCTATACATGACAGTTACATGAGTTGTTTTAGTTTTTTTAAAGCCACTTTAATGTGATGGAGGCTCCTTTTCATGTAAAAGACAGAAAGAACCTACAAATGAAACAACATCAAGCCCTAAAGTGCAAAACTGCAATTTGCATACTTCGGGGCAGCTGCTGTGTCTGTCCTTATTACCACCACTGGGGTGCTAATTCAGCCACAACTTTCTCAGTTATTTAAATGAAAAAGCAGTGGGTGGCTGGCATGCCACATTAGCTGCAAGGCAACCTGGGAATCAAGTTGACAGAGCTAGAAAGAGATTTCAATTCAGAGGGATTTAGGGGTCTTGCTCCCTGGACTGGTGGACACTGGCAGGTTCAGAAGTGCCCTTGGTCTACAGTATAGGTCAACACTTAGCTTAGAAAAAAATCAGTATTTGTATTTTGACTGAAATGGAGAACAGACACAGGACGGAACTGGAATTCTCCGTCCAAGTAATCTTTCTCTCTAAAATATATTGTTGCCAAAATAGTCTTGTCTCTACAGTAATACAAATATTTAATACTAATAATCTGTGTTTGTATAGCATTTAGCGTAATGGGGTCCTGGTCTACAACTAGGCTCTTGGTGATACAAATAGATAATAATACTCTTCTGGACTCATTCCTCCTGCTACCCTCTAGTGTTCTCAGATTGTAAGTGTGTTGCATTGACTTGCTCCTTCTCTGTTCAGCTGGCATTCGGTACAACAATCAGCTACTTTGCTTGTGCACACAGGCCCTGGTTCAATAATGTACTTAAACACGTGCTTCACTATAAGCATGTGAGCAGTCCATTGTCTTCAATGGGATTACTCACCTGCTTAAAGTTAGGCACCTTGCTGAACTGGGGCCATAGTGCTGCAGATGATTCCCCAGGGGAAGCAGTAGCATGCCCCATGTCCTAGAGAAAAGGACCGAGACCTAGAAGAGAGGAAATATTCAGTCACCCTGGGCCACATGTGGAGAGAGTCTGGACAGCCCCTTCAGTGTGTATGCTGCACCAATTTAGACTCCGTCAGACTTCCTTAGGCCTTCTAGACCAGGGGTGGGCAAAATATGGTCCGGGGGCCACATTCGGCCCTTCAGACGTTTTAATCCGGCCCTTGAGCTCCTGCTGGGGAGCGGGTTCTGGGGTTTGCCCCGCTCCACATGTGCTGTAGCTCCACACGGCTCCCGGAAGCAGAGGCTCCTACGCGTTCCGGCTCCTATGTGTAGGGGCAACCAGGGGGCTCTGCACATTGCCCCCGCCCCAAGTGCCGCACCTGCAGCTTCTATTGGCCAGGAACCATGGCCAGTGGGAACTGCAGGGGCAGCACATGTGGACAGAGCCACCTGGCCATGCCTCCACATAGGAGCCAGAGGGGGGACATGCCGCTGCTTCCAGGAGCTGCTTGAGGTAAGCACCGCCCGCAGTCTGCACCCCTGACCTCCTCCCATGCCCCAACCCCCAGCCCTGATCCCCCTCCAACCCTCTGAACCCCTCAGTCCCATCCCAGAGCACCCTCCTGCACCCCCAACCCCTCATCCCCTGCCCCACCCCATAGCCCACACCCCCAGCTGGAGTCCCTACCCTCCCCACACACCCAACCCGCTACCCCAGCCCGGACCCCCCTCCTGCACCCTGAACTCCTCATTTTTGCCCCACCCCAGAGCCCGCACCCCCAGCTGGAGCCCTCACCCCCTCCTGCACCCCAACGCCCAATTTCATGAGCATTCATGTCCCACCATACAATTTCCATACCCAGATGTGGCTCTCAGGCCAAAAAGTTTGCCCACTCCTGTTCTAGACTCATGTTCACTAACATGGAACCTACAGGTAGTCCACCCCAATCCACAGATCTGGAGCCCCAAGGAACTCCTGTGTAGAGTTTTCTGTGGGATTTGTAGAGTGGAGTGGACAGGCTAGGGAGCCATTCACAGTGGTGGAGTGAAGCCTAGGGCCTTATAATTTTAGACTAGAACTTTGTGAACCAGTTTAATGAAACACCTGTGTGAAATTACGAACTTGTCAGCTCAGCACAAGCCAGAACAAAACCACTGAGCAATGACAGGATTGGTAATGAGTGAAGAGAAGGTTAAACTAGCATGTAGGTCTGAATGTTTGAATGGTGGCAGTAAAAGAAAGTGATCAGATGGTCATGACGCTGGATTGGGAAGGAAATTAAAGCATGCTGTATTTTCTGAAGCGGGTATAAATAGTGACCAAAAAACTGCTACAAAAACCAATTAAAAGTCACAGTTGCTTGTGTATCTATCTGTCGCTAACCATGACACAGAGAAAAGCTATATCTATGGAAGACTTGCATATATAGTAAATAAGCTACACACAAAATAGGCTTTTAATCATGGATGAACTGTAACTATATTGTATCCAATCCTGCTCTCTTTACTCAGAAAAATGTACTCCCTGGAAGTCAATGTGTGTTTTTCTTAAAAAAGGAGGGCAGGATCTGGTCCATACACCTTGGTATTCACTAATGAGCAATGATCAAAAAGAAAATCCTCTGTTCATGCCAGTTACATGGAAGTTAGTATGTACTAACTTCATGGAAAACTCCACACCAAAACTCCAAACCCAACCGGGGTTTCCATTCCTTTATAATATTTACCTGTACATCTGCCTTTCTATGTATATATCAGTCTTTGTCACAAACAGTACACTAACCTCTGAACCTCCCTGTGACGGCCTTTATATTTTAAAAATGTTAAAAGAATCACTTATTTGTCCTATTATCACAAGTGTTTTTTCCTTTTCCTATTACTAATTTGCTGAAGTTAAGTAAAAACGTTAGTCCTCACCCACTCCTCCAGTCAGTCATATTATACTTATAATCACCATGACAACAGATAATGATCTCATAAAGGAAGGATTATGACTCAATTGCATGAAGAAGAGGAAGTCAGGGTTGGTTTACACTGAAGAAGAGCTTTAATTTCAGCAGAAACATCTTGGGCCTGATTCACCACTGTGTTACTCCAGTTTTACACAGGTAAAACACCACTGATTTCAGAGGAGT